TTTTAAAGTGTTGAAGAGCAAAGATGTCAGCTTGAGGACTAAGGTGCGCCTGACCCAAACCATGGTCTTTTCAATAACCTCATATACATGTGAAAGCTGGACAGTGAATAAGGAAGACCGTAGAAGAATTGATGCTTTTGAGTTATGGTGTTGGAGGAGAATAATTGCCATGGGGTGCCAAAAGAACCAATAGATCCGTTTTGTAGGAAGTGCAGCCAGAGTGCTCCTTGGAGGCCAAGATGGCCAAACTTCGTCTCTCATACTTTAGACATATTGTCAGGAGGGATCAGTCACTGGAGAAGGATATCATGTTTTGTAAGGCGGAAGGTCAGAGAAAAAGAGGAAGGTCCCCAATGAGTTGAATTGGCCAAGTGTTGCATCGATGGCCTCAAGTGTGGCAACAGTAGTGAGGTTGGCCCAGGATCGGGCAGTGTTTAGTTCTGCTGTGTATAAGGTCGTTATGAGTTGGTATCGACTATGGCACCTAACAACAACAACAACAACTCATAGGGACCTGGCATATGATTTCCAAGGCTATAATAAGTCTTTATGGAAGCATAAAGATTCACTTTTCTCCCATGGAGCAGCTGGTGGATGGATTCTAATTGCTGACCTTTTGGTTAGAAGTTTTACGTGTAACCCATTACACCCCACCAGGGCTCCTATACTGAATTCCCAATAAACTTACTATACTTATTAATCCTAAACATATTTAATGAATTAATTCTAAAGTTCTCATGTTTATACTCTAGGAATGAATTCACTGTCTGGAACATCAATGCCTAGAAACACTGTGGTGTATGAGAGAAAAGACGCATATTAGGAAACAGAAGAAGTAGAATCTTAGAGTCCAAATCTGATATTGATGAGCCAATAACTTTGGGCAGGTCTCTTTGTTGAACTTAAGCTTTCTGATACAAAAAATGCCTGTCTTACCTACAAAAAGTTACTGTGAGAACCATAGGATAGAACATGTAAAAGACCTTAAAAACTATGTAAGGCATTATCATCAGCAACAAAGAACCAAAGAATTTTTAAACAATGGTATGTGAACTGGAATAATTACTTTTAAGCATTTCATGTGTTTTCTTTGTGTGTGGAAACACAATCAGGTTTTATAGTATCTTTCAAGTATTTCATAATTAATAACTTACTAAACAAAAAGTTGAGGATCCTGTGCTAAGAGTTATAAGATATTCAGGAAGAGAGGAAGCTGTTCTCCTAACTTAAGGACAGACCATTACTGGATAATGTCTAATCAATTAATTAAGGAGGGCTGTAGGGTATATTATGTTCAACATAAGGAGACCTGGTGACACTGAAGGATAAGTACTGGACTGCTAACCAAAACTTTGACAGTTCAAACTCACCAGCCACTCTGCAGGACAAAGAGGAGGCTTTCTGCTCTCATAAAAATTTACAACCTTAGGAGCCCTAAGCAGGGTCACTATAAAGCAGAATCAAATTGATGGTAGTGGGTTTGGGTTTTTTGGTGTTCAACATTAAGTTCATAAATATAAGAGCTAGAATGAAATATCAGTATGTCTATTTAATAAATGGAGTACTGGTGTGGCACTGTAGGATAAGCACTGGATCGCAAGGTCAGTTTGAACTGCAAGGTCAGCAGTTCAAGTTCACCAGATGCTCCTCAGAAACACTATACAGGATCGCTGACTAGGATCCCGCTCGATAGCACTTAACAAGAACAATCAATAAAACACAATGACTGTTTTCAGTTAGCAGGAAGTTTAAATATTTTTATCCACTTCAATACATTTTTCTTTAATGTAGTACATCAGAAATTCTGCCCATCCATCTCTTTTAGATTCTAATATGTATGATCATATCTCATTCAGAGACTGAGCTATATATATATCCTCAAACTCCTCGGATTACCTGGGTAACCAGGGACAATGGGACCACCAGTCATCCTTACCATTTTAAAAGAAGACACACATGTGTTTTCTATTAAGAGGAGAAGGAAGGGATGGTTTGGTTTTGTTAAGTGTCATCCAGTTAGTTCTGACTCACAGTGATCCTGTATAGGGTTTCTGAGGACTGGCTGGTGGGTCTGAACCACCAACCTTGTGGTTAACTTATGGTGTGTAGTCTAGGGCTTATCCTGCAGTGTGCCACACCAGTATCTGGAGCTTAGAAAACTGCTTTTGTTCCCATGATTTTGCCCATATATTTAGCAGTGCAACTAATCTTATAATTAAAATGAGTATGAACGGCAAATTACTAGGCTAGGTCCACAGACCTTCTCCTAAGACATTTCTTTTAGAACACTTTCTGTGCTAGCTGAAAAAAGATTACTATTGAAAATAATACCAAAATACCCAAGTAATTTGAGTTTTTGGGTGCTTCACACTGGTATATAATACTTTACCATCCATAAGAATCTTTTATGTTTGACAATTGTCCGTAACTGCAGTGACACTTTAAAACACTATGCCATGCATCAAGAACATTTGAAGCCAGCACGTTACAATACAGTTTATACTAGGAGCTACTATGAAGCATATCTAGTAGATTTTAATATCATTGGGTGGCAATGACTAATAAGCCAATTTTAATAACTAACAAAAATGATTAGTGATATGGAGCCAGAAATGATAAAATACAGGACTGATGTTTTCTTTCCAATCAGTGTTATTTACTGTTCCTTTATGTTATGCATGTCCTATGGACAAATTAAGTGAGGAATGTTTGTTAGTTATAGGATAAGCTAGAACTATAAAGCATAACATAACAATATTACCCTAATTATAATTTCACTTAAAAAGTATTTTTTAACACATGACAGAAGAAAGTGAATTAAATAAATATAGCTGATGTTTTTGCAGATACTAAAAATTCTAGATAATTTCCCATTTTCAATCACAAGAATGACTTTGAATGCACCTGAATGACTCATTTTTTTTATGCATGCAGGCATAATGGGTAAATATACACAATGACTGCCACTTCTAAAATTCATTTTATATTAAAAAAAAATTTTAATATGCCTTATTTTTTAACTTACAATATTTCCTTTTTTGACATAAATAATTAGTAGCTGACAATGAGTAGCAAGCTAGGAATGAAATTATCATTATACATTCCAAGAAGAGTTACAGTAGTAGTTCATACTTCTGTGACATGAACAAAACTGAGCAATTTAACCACAGATACTATGAACCAGAATAATCAAAATGCTAACAGCATTATTTCAAATTTTTGACAAAACAAGGATAAAAACAAATTAAACACTAATACAAGTATAAATTGAAATGATCAAAAAGAAAATAATGCTGAAAAATAGGTATAATGGTTTCCAGAAAGCTGCTTTCTATAAAAAATCAAGACCAAATTAATGCTGAAATAATGCTGAAAAATAAGGCATAATGGTTTCCAGAAAGCTGCTTTCTAAGACTTTATGGCAAGGTTTATTTCAAAGTTTAGAAAAATTTAGTTTACCAACTAGAAAAAATTGAGTCTACATTCCAAATCTGTGTGTGTATAGAGTACAACACACAGAGAAATCTCTATAATGATGATGCTCAAACAAAGCACTTTAAATTGAGAAAGGTTCCTGTAGATTTTACAAAGCCTCCAACACATGGAAGGCACTCGAGTATTTTCAATCACTGCTTGTCTTCATGCCAACAACAAAATAATTCACACATTGACTAAATGACATTCATTTTTAAACAGTGTAGTCTTATTTCAAAGCAGGTTTCAACAGTTGCCATTCCAGAAATAAAAAGATGACGGGAAAATTAAAAAAAGTATTACCTTATATAAAAATAATTTTTAAAATGTAAAAGAAAGTAGTTTTAACAGGGTGATCTGCAAATGTACATCAAATCCCAAGCTCCTCCAGAACTTTAATAAGTGTTCTCTATGCCATTCTAACTTGGGGAGAAAGTATTCAAATGTTTGGCAACTTTCCCTCATGCCTTTTGCAAATCTACAAAGCATGAGGCAGGCAGAGCCTGTCAAATCCTGCACAGTGCAGTGCCCCAGCACAACTCCATTGGTGATGCCACTTCCACCGCTGAAGAGCCTGCCACTGGGGGTGTAATGGCGATCTGCAGTTGGCCAATACTGCACACTTTTTGCACATATCATTTGTTCATATTTTTACTTCATAACCTATAGAAGCAAACCAGAAAATATAATAACACCATAGACTATTGTTTAAAAAAAAAAAAAAAAAAAAATGTTGTTTTAAGAGCTCGGAATTGTGAATCATTCTACAAAGGAAGAAATACTAACTTCTAAATTTAATAATGGAAAAAAAAAAAAAAAAGGATTCAGCGCACCCCTAGAGGCAGACTCTTCAGGGGTGGGTGCGACATCGTCAGAGAAGTGCATGCTGGGGCTTTGCCCTGTTCCAGGATTGGCAATCCATGCCTGCTCTGCATTTTGCAAATCTGTAGAAACAAAGACAAAGAAATGTCCATTAGCTGAACATCATCAGAGATCTCCAATATATAAGGATACCTCAAAACAAAACAGGAATCCAATCAAGGTTGGCTCTATTTTTAATACATTTGCAGGTCATTTCAACGTAAAAGTATGGGGGAAAAAATCAATACCAAATTAATGCAGACCAGCTTTTTTTCAAGTAAAAATGATTCAAGTGAATCCTTTTTTTTTGTTTTGTTTTAATATTAGTATGCAAAGAATATCTTCTCATCACCTACTTTTTCTTCTTGGTTAGAAGAATCAATGAATAAAAGCTGCTCTCTTGCTATTAGACAAAACACCATGGAGTCTATGACTAATTGGGTTGTAAGAAACTTGCACTTACAGGTACACCTCTTCCACCAGATGTTTGCCTTCCAAAATCTGCAAAGGCTGGAGTAAAGTCTGGTCCTCGAGGTAAAATTCGAGGATCTAGAGTTCGCATTGGCAATTTGGGTTGGTTGATCTGCAAGAAGAAACAAAGGAAAACTTAACACAAGTTCCAGAGCATTCACTGCCACAGCGATAGCCAAATCTTGACTGAAATGTTATCAGCTGAAATGGTGAACACTGGCTTCTAAGAAATCAGTGGAAGTTGAGGTTTCTGGGCTAGCCTGAGAACCCCTGGAACATTAATGGTTTGTGGTGCTCTGGGGCTGATATAGGCCTAAAATTTCCAGGAACAACTAGATACAACCAGTAGAGTGGTCCACTAGACACACAGGACCAGTGGGATGGCTCAAGACACGTTATTTTGAGATCCTTTGAACTAGGGTCAAATTTTGGCATTCATTTTTCAAGATATTCACCAGGAAGTAAAAATATTTATCTATAGGAATTCTGACATTGCTCACTTTTGTTTTGATGCTGTTTATTTATAATTAGTAAAGCATGTATTTTGAGGTGACAATAAGTCTCCAAAGGAGATACATTTCATGTGATATGCTCCATTTAAAATCTCATTTTGCCTGCCTTGTTAATCTGAGATGTCTGGCTTTATATTGGCATACAATGTGTGACTATTGAGCCAGTAAGTAGCGCAATGCGAAATCAACTAATGACTAGCCAGTCAGAAACAGATAAGGTAGCAACACAGGAAGGAATATTTTCTAGGAGAATAATCTAATTCAGTGGATGTAACACTTGCCCTCTGAAGTACTGAAGTAGCCTCAAATTAGCACCACCAATCATTCAACTGTCCTCACAAAAGTACCTAAGAGAGAAGACTTAGATATCAAGAGAAATAAGAAGACCTCTTGCTAGAAGGAAGCAAAATGACACAAATAAAGTCTAGATAAACCGCTGCTGGAAACCTCCATAGGAGGTGGATCTCAATCCGTAACATAGTTAACCTATACAATGTAATTACAAATAAACATTTCCTTTTCTTCAAAACAAAAAATCTTCAGAATTAGTCACTGGCAAAGGTTCAACCCAGATTTATATGAAATTACTGAAACAGACATACATTTGACTTTATTTCTTTTAAATACAGACTAGTATCCTAGATGTATTAAGATCATGTGTAAAGAAAAAGGGTGTCTATTTGAACAGGATTTGAGTCTGTAGGAAAATTTTGAGATATCCAGTGATTGAATTAGGTTGACACCTATTTAAATGTAACCTGTCAATTATCTTTCTAGGTTTCTGACCTGTCCTTAATGCCACTATAATTCCAAATAGAAAAGTTAAAGTCATGGGGGAAGAGCTCCATATCCTTTTAGCCCTATGTTTCCCCCATGGACCCAAAGTTTTCACCATAACCCTAGGAAATTGCTATAGTAAGCAGACAAATTAATAAATTTTAAAAAATTCACCACTGAAATATGGAATAAGTCCCAAGATTACTGAAATCTAGTAAACTAGAAATCCAACAGTGTTCAGGGGAACTCTAATTCTTAAGCATTGCATATTTTCATTCAAACACCATTGGTCTTATAATTTCTGAAAATCACTCATACTTCACATAAGCCACAAGCTTACATATTTACAATGATAGCTAAAACCAGTCCCCAGTAAAAGTACCTATCTTTCTCTTGAGGGAGCAGCATACCTTGTCAAGAACCACATCACTGATGGGAGGCAGGCCCTCTGGTTTCTGTATACATGCTGGCATGAACTGGAAGTCTAGCAGAAACTCCCTGTCATACTGCTTCTTGCCTTCAGTATCAGAAGGCTTCCAGGATTCTAGGAAGAGGGATACAGGTAGACAACTGACTGTAGATTATATATGATCTATTTAAAATATACCCAGTAAAAGTACAAACCAAATTCCAATATTTTCTTTATCTAGTCAGAAGTTAAAAAGATCAAAGGAAACAATGAATACAGTCAGAAAATTTCACATACAGATTTTGAAGTCATTTCTTCTTTCATCCCTTTTTAATACATGAAGCAATTTTGAACAATTCACTATAGGAACCACTTCATATACACACTAAAAGAACTTTGGTCAGGGAAAAGTAATCTTCATTCAATATAAACTTTCAAAAATTCGGTCCCTCCTAGCCTGGAGCAGCTAGAAGAACAGAAGATACTTCTTGAAAGAAAGACTGACAGGAAAAATAAAAAAAACAATATAAGCAGACCGACTGATTACTACAAAAACAAGCAAGATGCTCACCCAGGAGACATCAAGGCCAAGTGGCTGGGTTCCCTCAGAGAAAACCCCCTTCCAAAACTAAGACTCAATGGGAATACATGCTCTGATTGGTGACCACGTTAGTCACCGGTAAGGGGAAGTGAGGGAAAAACCAAAATGAAACTGCGAGCTAAGCCCTACAACGTTCAATAGACTCCTGTGAACCTGGGTGGAGACCTGGTTGGCCGGCAGTGTGGAAAGACCTGGGGACTCTTGGGCCCAGAGTCAGTGACATAGCCACAGAGGACTAGAGTGGAGAGTGAAACATCCAGCTGACCAGAAGAGAGGGCATATGCACAAGAACACCCACACTTGCAGATAATACCCACTTGACCTGGCTTCAATGACTAGATGATCAGAGCTCAACTAGATGAAGAAAGAAGAGGGAAAAAAAAGTAATCTGATACAATTTGATGAACTTGACCTACACCTATGGATGCAGTAGCTCAAAAGAGGGAACAAATCTTTATAGCAATGATCATTCCCACCATACCTCCATACACAGAGTAGACAGGGATGGGCAACTTGGACATTGGCTACCCAAAGGGGGATGGGGGCGCTACAAAGGCAAGAAGTGACTGACTGACAAGCTTTCAAGAGGGAATCTAGATCCAGAAGTTGTGGAGAAAGATAGAATCTCCACTGAGTAGTATCCAATCTGTCTAGGCAGGGCTGATGAAAGGAAATGAGGCTAGGTCTCTTGTGATACAATAGTGAATAATTGTTATGAGGACTGCTTGTGAGGGTTGGAAATGAAAAGGTAGATATTTTGTAGCAAGGAGGGGAGTGACTAACTTTGCAATCTAGGAGCGGAGGTCCTTGGGACCATCAAGGGAGTAGAGCGGAGAGTGGGACCCTATCCAGAGAAGCAGTGACGCCAGAGATGAAGGCAGAGACGATGACATGGACAGATGGAACAGCTGGGGACTTTAGACCCAGAGAGGCAGAGGGGCTGTGTGCTGACGACCGGGGACTGATGATGCATGGAGGGGACTGTAACCATGGCAATGAAACAATGTACATAAGATGAATGTAAAACTAATGTTCTCCCATGTAAACTATCACATAATTCACAATAAAACATTTTAAAAAAACTCGGTCGCTCATATACCTCAGTAATGAGAAATTTGTTAACGCTCCCAGTTTTATGGAAAAGGATTCTTGGGTTGTTCACTTGGAAATGCAATTTTAGAAAGGAAAAAAAACCACAAAACCACAAAGCTATTTAAGATTCTGAAGTTCTAAGAAGCTAGATATAGAATTTTCTTCTATGCCTGTAGTTTAATCGGAAGAAAAGAAACTAATATGGTCATATCTGTAATATCCCTTTCAATTAAAATTAATAAAACTTGTATTTATATTATCTCAATGGCTTGGTAAGTCAACTAAACTGGGAGTATGTTTCTTCAAAAACCCTGAGACTCTGTTAATATTTCCAATATGAATTTTAAATGACATTTTTGCCACTGCACATACTTTGCAGGTTTAATTACAAATACTATGCAAATTCAAACTGAAGTTGAAGAAAATGAAAACAAGTCCACAAGAGCCAAAATATGACCTTGAATTTATCCCACCTGAATTTCAGATCAGCTGAAGAACAGATTTGATACATTAAACACTAGAGATCGAATACCAGAAGAGTTGTGGGATGACATTAAGAACATCATACATGAAGAAAGCAAAAAGTCATTAAGAAGACAAGAAA